TCTCTCTCTCTCTCTCTCTCTCTCTCTCTCTCTCTCTCTCTCTCTGTAAAAACAGATAACATGAGATGTACCATCTAAACAAATTTTTAAGGGTAAAGTACAGTATTGTTAATAGTAATAAGCACAGTGTTGCACAGCAGACGTCTAAAACTTACTCATCTTGCATAACTGACACTTTATAACCATTGAACAGCAACTCCCCATACCCCCACCACCACCACCACCACCACCAATCCTCTGGCAACCACCATTCTATTTCTGTTTCTAGGAGTCTGACTGTTTTACATACTTAGGAGATAGTCTGGGTATCTCTTTTTCTCACAGATCCAACCCATCAGCAAGTTTTAGGTTCTCTCCATAAAAACTTATCCCCAGTCACTGTTACTAAGGCATCATCATATTTTGCCTAGACCACTGTAATAGCTCCTTAACAGGGGTCCCAGCCTCCAGGCTTGCCTCAGGCTAAGCTTCCCAGAGAAACCAAAGTAATGATTTAAAGATACAGACCAAGCCTTGTCACTCTCCTGTTCAAACCGCCCCCATGCCTCCTTACCCCGGTTTGTGTAAATCCTGAGCTTCTGTCACAACCGCAAGGCCATCGTGACCTGGCTTGCAGCTTCCCACACACTATCTCCTCAGTCACTGTGCTTTTAGCCTGCGGTCTCCTTGCTGCTCTGCAACAAACCTAGCGGGCTCCCAATCCTGGGACTTCAAACTGCGGCTGGGTCCCTCTCCCTGAATTGCCTTTCATGACCTTTCATCTTTGTATGACCTGGCCTCCTTCAGACCTCTGATCAAATGTCACCTCTTCAGAGATGCTTGCTCTGATCATCCAGTGTAAAGCAGTGCCCTCAGCGCCCCCATCATGCTACCCCTTTTCCTTACTTGGTTTTTCCTCACCACCAGGCACTGTCTTGCATGTTTATGTGTTTTCTTGTTTACTGAAGTATCTCTGACTGAAGGCGGAATGTCCTTTTTGGCTTCATTCACTGCGAAGTCCCCTGAACCTAAAACAGTGTCAGGCACACAATAGATTCTTAACACATGTTTATTGAGTGAATAAATAGTTTCTGCTATCCTTAAAGTCAAATCAATCTTCTACCATATTTCTACAAGGAACTTCATTCTATCTCAAGTATCAAAAGATAGTCATCTTAGGTCAAGATTTTATTGTTAAAATGAACTATAATTGTGGGGCAAGTGTAGGCCTAATAATTAGGACTTATGGACCTCAACCATTCACTTATTTTTTATTTTTTAAGCTATTTAAAATGTATGTGCTTTAATTTTCTTCATTTCTCAAACAAGATTGATAATAAAACATATCTAGACTCATTCTGGGTTTGCTGTGATGATTAAATATGTGGAAATACTTGGAATGACATAAAGAAATCTATTAAAGTGAGATGCTAATATTTTCCTCTCCTATATTTTAATGATTATCATTTTTTCCTTTAGCTCCATTTATGTGTTTCTTTCCCTTCTTTATATCAGCAGATCTTACTTAGCACATTATACAAACACAAGTGCAAAGGAACCACTAGTACTTTGGTATAGATAAGAAGCTAAAAGGATTAGCAGGGACCAGATTTTTAAATACAAAGAAATCTTGGATAAAAGAAGTCTGGGGGGTGGGGTGTTGGACCTTGATCCACCAGCAAAGATGTGACTTCTGCAGGATAACTTTGTTGAGGACCCTTGGGTGGCAGGCCAGGCAGGGGTGCAGAGCTCGGGTGCACCGGCCAAGTCCAGCATCCAGGAAGAGAAGTGAAACATAGACCTCCCTCGCTGAGCCCTTCACTTCTCTGCAAACTCCATAAGTGTTATTATTTACTGCTAGCACCTCTGGACAATAGATCAGGAAATCAAAGCTGCTGTCCAGCCCTTCCCCACATGCAGCGCAACTTGAGCCAAAGAACAATATAATTACTGCCCATCGTCTTCCTGTTTGCTCTTGCGATCCTAGTCCCTGGAGAACCTGAGCAGTTGCTTTAAAATGTCATCTGGCTTTAAGGAAATCCCAAACCAGGTAAACTATATTTCTATTTTTTCTACTTTATAGAAGAAGAAAGTAGATCCCAGAGAGATTAAGCAACGTGTCCAAGGTTGCATAGCAAGTTGGAAGTGGATTCCAAGTTGGTGTTCTTTTTGTTGCATTATAGTGTCTTTGTGTAGGTTGAACCATTTCTTTAAGTTATTGCACATGGCTGATTTTATTTGGAAGAATCAGAAAAGTTGAGTTGCTTCAGTTTGTATTTTATAAAAATTTTCAGACCCATATCTTGGAACTGAAGACCACTTATAGGCACCAATTGTTGCAGTAAGTATTTTAAATTGCTGATATAAGAAAGGCTAGCTAGAGTAATATCTCTCCAGGAGCTGTCTGGGTTCAATCCTAGCTCTACCAGTTTACTGGCTGGGCAATCTCAAGCAAATTTATTAATTTCTTTGTATGCTTGTAGTTATATTTCCTGTCTATAAAATGAGGATAATAATTGTATCTATCTCGTTGGGTTGTTATGGATAACTGAACATATAGAAGAATTAAAACAGTGCCTAGCAGATAGTAAGTGATACATATGTGTTTATTTTTACAGTATGTAGATACAAATGTAGATAAGGTCAGAGTACATTAGAGCTTGTCTCAGGAGTTCTCATCTTGAACACAGTTTTGTAAAAGAAAAAAAAGTTTCCAAATGAAAGCATCATTTCTATAGTGCCTAGCTGCAGTAACTCAAAGCTGTCACTAGATGGCAATTGCGATCCATTGTGACACCAGCGGCAGCCAGTTTTATCAGATGGGTCAAACCCTGGAATTTGTTTTTTGCGCCCTGGAGCATTGTAAACTCAGGCTATCCCTTCCCCACAAGGTGGACCTTTAACAAAACTGTTAACCGTCAGCAGGTCAGCAAAGCTTGCCTTCTGTGGTCATTCTTGGGACTCACCCACAAGCGCTCAATTCTCCCTCATGGCAGCCCCACAGAAGCCTGGGTTTACCTGTCTACATCCTATTGTTAATTTGTATATCAGGAGTGCTGACACCAGGTGACAAAGACAGTGTCACAATCCTGTGTTAAGAAGATTAATCAGTGGTTCTCAAAGTGTGGTGTCGTGTACCCCCTACCCCAACAGCCTCAGCACCGCCTGGGAACTTGTTAAAAATGTAAATTCTTGGGCCCCATCTCTAACCTGCTGCCCAGGAATTGGTGTTTTAACAGACACCAATGCTGATTCTGATGCCTGCTAAAATGTGAGAACCACTGAGATGAACCAATGGTTAGCATCATATACATGTTGGCGCTGGCGGGTCCTCAGAGAATATTTTGCCCAACCTGCTTATTTTGCTGGGAAGGAAACTGAGTCCAGAGAAGTTAACTTAGTCACTGAAGACACAGGGTTAGGCTTTTGGCAGAGCCAGGCCCCAGGCTACTAAGTTGTATCCCCCAGTTTCTCCCACTTTACCCTGCATCCTTTCCCCCCTCAAAACTGAGCCCACTTGGTACACACATTCTAGCCTGATGCCTACTTATGAAGAAGAAAAAAACCTACTTATTTATTTATACAGGAGTTGGTTCATTCATTTCAAAAGTTGCTATAGGGATAGAAAACGTGTATGTGATGCATAGAGTGTGATGCATTTCAGTCATGTGCAAGAGTTTGGTTTGATTGAGGGGAAGGGTGTATGTGGAGGACTTATCGTGTTATAAACAATAATAATAATATAACTACTACTAATAATATCTGACTCATTGAATGTTAACTATGTGCCAAACACTGTACTAAGCATTTTACACTATTATTAGTTGATTGAATCTTTTTTAAACTGCTCTTATTCCTATTTCATAGATAACAATAGAAACACATACACTGTTCTATTTTCCTTAAAATCAAGTGTTACTATTTCCATTTCTTAGATGCTGAATTTACAAAAAGACCCTTAATAGTTACTTGTTCCAGGACAATCTCTATAATGGGTAGTAGGTATGAATTTGGGGGGAATGAGGAATATGTTTTCAATGCATATAGTTTTATTATAAGCATAGTTTTCATAATGCATAAAATCAGTCAGATTTTGACCTTTTTTCTTTTTTAACTCAAGGAATGAATGTCATATTATTCTTTGGTCTATCAGCAGCTGTGGAAGTAGCCAATTTCTTATGATAACAGATGACTGTTTGAAAAGTGGCAAAGAATGCTCCTTTCAATTACTTGACTCGCTGTAGAAAGGAAGCTGAGTAATGAATGAGTGATCTGGTCTGAAATCATTGGCTTTGTTACATTTTTGGATTTTACTTTGTATGCGTTCACTGTGAATGTGCTTTTCATGAATATGAATAGTGGTCAACATTAACATATTTTTTCTTTGTACAGGAGTGTTCACAACCAAAGTAAAAATTCATGTTACAAAGTTCTGATAGGATTTGAAATAGTAATGCCTAGCCCTTCCTAGCTAAGCTTCCAGAATTCCTGGATTCTTTGGGATATTTTTCAGTGATTTCACTTTTTCCTGAGAAAATAGCTTTTCTGTTCCTTAGTTTTCTCATCTGCAAAATATTGGTATTGGATGAGATAATCAGCTGTAATGGTTTGTGGATTTATGGTTTAATGGTTGAACGGCAGGCACAAAGAACTCACTTCTGAGCTTTCCTTGTAGTAAAATTTTAGTGTTGTTTCCATAAAAGAAGTTATCAGACCAACTATTTCTTCATGAATTTTTAAATGGGACGCCTAACACAGTTCTATATTTCAATTTTTCACATCACTAAAACCCTCTCCAGCTCAAATATGTGATTATACGATATATTCCCACATCTCAACTGGGCTAAGATTAAGGCTAGTTTTAGACAGATGCCATTAGATATGATTGATTTCAACATAGGAGAGTTGCACTTTACCTAAGGCCCTGCTTTTCTCATTGCTGCAATTACAACTTTGAGTTTTAAGAGCTCCTGTTACAGCCTTGATCTTTACACTCATGTTCACAGCTAAGGATAAACTGCTTTCTCAAAAAAAATCTAGAAAACCCAAATCAACTTTCACCTTCTTTGTCTAGAGAAGTTGAATCGTCCACAGGTTGCTTTATCTTGAATTAAAGGAAGGGCAATAACTTTTGGGAAGGAGAACCTATAAAATGTATTATTATTTAAAAATTTTGTGATTGAGAACAAAATTTGCATTTTACTCCCTCCAGACCATTGTTACCTTTCTCATTCATATTCAGTTTTGGAGTTGATTACAATAAATTTTCTATTCGCTTATTATAAAAGCATTGCATGTTTATTCTGGAATTATTACAGAAAAGTGTAAATAAGGACATAGAAATATGTAAAATTCTGCCACCCAGAGTTGGTTATTGTTAATATTTTTCTTTTTCATTTTTTGATTCTAGGTAAATATGAACATTAAGTAATTGGCAACTAGTTATACATTATATTTTGAAGTCTTCTTTTAAAAATTAATTTTGGCTTATATACACTAATTTTAACTTCTACCTTCAAAAATAACATTACTTTTATTATATAAAAAGTTACAATACTCTTTCATTTTCACTATTTTGTGATTTTTCAGTGCCATTTTGATTTAGGTCCCTTTTCATTTGTTTGTTTTCATCCCTCTTTTTTGCTGAAAAGATATAAGGTAATTTCAACCCACTTTCCTCCAAATAGGTAGAATATGTAGAGAAAGGCAAAGCTCTGGAATTCATAATATATATGTGTATATATATGTATATATGTATATATATATATATGTATATATGTATATATATATATATATATATATATTAATATAGATATCTTTGCTTTATAAACAATTGGTAAGTTTTAACACACTGGGGAATGATGTTATGAAGAATTCTATTGTAACATAAAGAAACCATTTAGGAAGTGAGGAGTAACCCCTCTTTCATATGATCTTGTTTATAAGTATGTATTTTTCAAAACTGTTCATAAGCGTACTGACTTGTGTATTCTTGTAGGACAGAGCTCTGGTCTTACTGCCCAGCATTCCCTCAGGGTCTAGAACTGTCCCTGGTCCATTGTATTTGCTAGGTGACCACTGTGGAGTTGAAATGAATAAAATAAAGCAATTTCAAGGGCCGGCCCAGTGGCTTAGTTGGTTAACAGCTCGCTCAAGAGTGTGAGCTCTGAGCAACAGTGGTTCAAGTCCTGGCCCGAGCTGAGCAGCCACTGAGCTGCCAACAGATGGCAGGATGGCTCAGCTAAAAAAAAAGAAAAGGAAAGCAATTTCAAATATTCTGACGATGTTGTGGTAGGTTGTATTGTGATTTCAAATAACACTGATGTAAGAGGCAGTAAATGGTTAAAAGCTTTGATTCTGCTTTCTGTTCCTAATTTTCAAGTCCTTACATGAGATAACTTGGTCTGCCTCTTAATGTAGTGCTTAAGTCCAAATAGTAAGTGCTAAAGATGTGTTAGCTTTTAGCAATTTGGGATATCTATTTTTCTCCTAAAAAAGAACCCATTTTTTTTCCAGGGGATTTTCAGGTAGATTTTCTAAAACTACTTCTTTAGGAATTACATATAAAATATCTTCAAGAATTGGTAGGGGATATAAAATACACTGTATTTTATAATAAATATATATTTAATAATTATTTTACATTGCCTATATCACCTAATAGTCCAATGTCTCATTCATTCATAATATTTAATGGGAACACATTTTACAATAAGGTGTGCTACAGAGCCGTAAATATAATTTACAATTCTTTCCAGGGTACTTTTACTCTAAGCTTTTCAAGCATTCAACTGTAAAACGGGCTTTAATGAATGAGCAATTTGAGGCATCAGCTAATGAATTCTGACTTTTTCCCTGCATGTGGAAGATGTGTGAGGATGACAGAATCAGTGCTGCTAATGTGCATTGTTCTGTGACAGAGTCTTTGTTAATCTGTCTCAGCCCCATCAAGGCAGGTGCACAAACAGGTCCAGTGCTGCACAATCTGTTCTGTGGGCTCTGACCAATGCAATCCTCTAGTCCAGTGCTGTCCACACAATGTGAGTCACAGAAGTGACTTCGTATTTTCTAGTAGTCATATGTAAAAAGTTAAAAAAAAGCATATGAGATTAATTTTGAGAATACATTTTAACTCAAGATGTCTAAAGCATTATGATTTAAATGTGCAATCAATAAAAAGTATTAATGAGATATTTTGAATTCTTTTTTTTTGTTCAAAGTTTTAGGAAAGTATAACTTTTGTTCAAAGTATAAAATCCCACATGGGTTTTATACGCATAGTACTTCTCAGTGGCAACTAACCGCATTTCAAGTGCTCAATCACCACATGTGACTCACGGCTACCATATTGGACAGCACAGGTCTGGTCATTCCCTGTTTGAAGACACCAGAGGGCAGCAGTGTGGTGTAGAGGAAAAAAGACAAAAAGCTAACTTGAAATCATGATATATGTCCTCTCCTGGTGCTGACATTTGGTACCGATGTGACTGTGGACAAGTGATTCCGTTTCACTGGGTCTCAAATTCCTATTCTCTATAATGCAGCTCGTTAATAACTGCCATACTCCTCATAGGAGGCTGTGGAAAAGACTAAATAACATATTGTATGTGAAAGTGCTCTGTTAGATCATAAAGCGCCATACACATGTTAGGCATTATTGCCCCTTTTATTGTAGATTTACTCTCATGACTTGCCCAAGGCCACATTCCAAGTTGGTAGGAGAATCAAGGATAGAATCTGGGGCTTCTGACTTCCAGCCATCTGCTTCAACTAAAGGCTGTTCATACCAAGTTGGCTTTAAAAATGAAACAAAACACAACAAAACAAAAAACCTAAACCCCAAACCCTTTATATTAAAAAAAAAATGAGGAAGGAAGAGAGTGGCAATAAGAAATAAATTCAATATTGAATACTTAGGGTCCTCTTAGCCACCATCATAATGTTCTGCTGTTAAATTATACATACAGGATATTTATTTATATGCCTATATGTCAGAATTACAACCATCAAGGATTGGACTTTATTGCAGTCATATAATATAAAACCCCACGTTCTCCAAAGTCTCAAACAACTTCTAAATTGAACTGTGGTTTCCCCCCTCTTATTTATCTCCAAAATATGGTACAACCACAAGAAAACCCTTCTGTAGTGGGTTTGATTAATAAAACAGATATGGATCAATTCAGCAGGTTTACCATGGGTTATTTTTGGTTATAGATGTAGCTCATTAATTCCCACGTGTGAGACACCACTTCTCTAGTGTGAATCCAGAAGACACATTAATCTCTGAAGAGAAAGTGGTAATAATTCAGTTCAATCCATATTTAGTTGTGCTTACTGTGTGTAAGGCACATTAGCTATTTTAATGAACAAAAGGAGATTGTTTCTACAATATTTGTCACTTAGAGATATGTTATTTAAATTGAGGAAAATATAGACTATGTCTACCAAAATGTTTATGTTCTATGATTCAGGAATCTTTATTTTCAAAAGGTAAAAAGATGATCAGAAATTCTAGATTATTCAAAAATAATTTAAAAATTCACATCCTTTATTTTTGGAGGGCACACAATGGATGAGTTATGATGGTCTATTTCCATTTTCCCTAACTGTACCCCTATCATGGTTTTCATATTTAAATTTTTGGGTCATTTTCTACATTTGTTTCAAATTAATTTGTTCATATAACTTAAAAATCACATAAAATATTTCGAGTTTTCTACTATGTGAAATTAAGCATAAGCCAAGTTGATTTTCACCAAAAAGACATACATTAAAAAAATTATTTATACTTTTTTTCAGTCAAAATTCTTTCTTAAAAATGACTTTCAGTTGGTTATTTTTATTATAAAACTATCATATATTAACTTTGGACATGCTTAAATTGATGACCATGTTGAACAAATGTAATTTTTAATTTCATTTGCTGAATCATTGATGTTGACCATTAAATGAAATAGTGTATTGAGTAACCTTTACATTTTATTACTTTTGCACCCTGGTTTAAAAACAAATTAATTTTTAAAAAGCCCAATAAATGTATTTTTTTATATTTTCACCATGACTTTACAAGCAATTTTTCTCCTCTGCATTATAATAACCACTTTTTTTTTGCATTTTTATGATTTAGTTTAACATTATTATTGTAGTTTTTCACTGGGTAAGCCTATTGATGCCCTTGGCAACAAGATTTTGTTACAAAAAATCCGGAAGCTGAGCCTGCTGTTGGTTGCAACAATTATAAAGTTTCTCTGGATTGAGTTCAGAGCCTTATCCTGACATTATGACTAACCAGCATCATGACTCCTTCATCAGCTTCTCCAAAATATGTGATGGGCTTGAGTCCTATAACCTGTTGCTTAAATAAGCATACATATTTAATGGTTTTGCATTATAAATATTTCACTTGATTGACATCTGGTCTTGATGAAATTCAGCTAAAATAATTAGTGGTACCTGTAGGGAAATTGTGATACCTTAGAAACTTATTAACATATTTGACTTTCTCCAGGAATTGAGAATGGATTCATTCTAGACCTGATGTGGTCATGTGTCATTAATTGTAGGTCTAGATGTTGTGCTTTTCATTTTTTTTCTAGTGCACCTCCAGCAAGAACACAGAAATCTGAGGAATCTTAACTGTTCATTCTTTAAATTACTAAATAAAATTAAATAGACTACAAAAAGCCATTGTACTAGTAAATATTAGGAATATTGAGTTGTGTGTCCAGAAGTCACACTTAAAACCAGGCAATAATAACAAGCATAGGATGGATGTAGATACTATGAGATAGTGTCTACTCATCAGATATGGATGGTATTTTTTTTTCCATTCGAGTTCAAAATTTAATGATGGACTTCATATTTCAATTGCTTCTACTGAGAGGCCAATTAAGGAGTAAAAGAGATTCTGGTATAGTTACTATTTTTCACTGTAGCTATATTCAATATCGTATGTGAATAAAACTGTATTTGTTGTATAATGCTCTGTTTCGTACTTCCTAGATTGTTTTTAGGAAAATTTAGTTTATGTCACTTCAGTCATCTGAAAGGAATCGTTCTTTTTCATTATAACTCATAACTTAAAACTGCAAACTATCAGCCTGAAAAAAATTGGCTCAATTAAGAGAAATCTGATAATGGTAGAAAAGCACATGTAGATATGACTAGGAGATGATAAGATTATTTTAATTTTCCCATTTGCACTGGAATTATTTATTTTACAAATCTCCAGATCTTTCATTACTTAAAACCCTCTGCTGAATCACGAAAAGAAGCTTAAGTTAGCAATTTTCCCCTGCAAAATCTAGCTGTTAGCATCTGGTGAACACTTGGATAACCTAGTCAGGTCTATGGAAATGATTATTTTAAGACTCTATTCAACATGCCTAGACTTAAAAAAAAAAACAACAGTTAGAATCACTTTCTGCACATGTATTTTACTATCGGGGATTTTAAAATCTGACATTAGTAGCAATGGTTTATAGGCTTTTGTAGCGGTGCAAATGGGAATAGAAGATAGGTAGGGTCATGCAGACAGGCTGGATCCCCGAGTGTCTGCCAACTGCCCCTGTACTCTCAACAGTGACTTCCGCCGCCCTTTCTCCTGTGGACCACCAGTGGCCAGGCCACTGCGCCACCCTCCAGGGTTTCTCCACTTACATTTAGTGGCTGCCTGTGGAGTCAGGACCAGTGTCCTTGCTGGTGTCTTCCTGTGGCACGCCTGGGGCTGGCTTCTGTCTCCTCACCAGATACTGCTCCAATTCCTGAACACCGTCTGAAGTAGGGGAAAAAAAAGAATTCTTTTACTCAGTTGGAAAGACAAGAATCTGAATTATTATCAAAGTGTATTGCTTTGGGAATCACAGGAGAAATTACATAACAGGAACATATAAATACACACTTCAGTAAAAATTGCTATTTACCAAAATTTAAATGCACAGTTTGGAGATAGTAGGGATCTTTGTACGCTGATCAGGAGATATAATTTTAGGGGTTCTATACATGCAAATATGCACTTATTTGTTTTTACACATATACTATATATAGTTTTTGTCCAAATAAACAATATATTGTATATCTTTCTTGCTTTTCATGGTTATATCACATGCTAAGTTCTCATTAATTTAATTCTTATTAATACAGGTTTTAAGTAATTTAGAAAGGATTTGGGCATTTGTTTTAGAGGAAATAAATTTATGAGGAAGTTATACTTCAGGGAGAAAAGTTAGATTTATTTTTATACAGTAAATTCTTTCAGCAACACATTTTCTATCCAATTTGTAAACAACAGTATTTGAGGTAGAAATTATTCTTAGGTATTTATCAAATCAGGTCTGATAGGACTTTAAAACACTTTTAGGTTTTTGTTCGAATTTTGGGGGCAATTTCGTTGAAGATACTTTATGCATCTTCTATAACTTAGACGTTTTACAAATCATATGGGACTTCTTCCCACTTAAACTGAATTTCAGAAATTTAACTCTATGTTACTTTATTTTGTTTTGAAATATTCCATAAAGACTTGTTTATGAAATATCTATATTTGAATGTAGAAATATTGTCTTCAACTAAATTGCACCAAAAACTCAAACAAAAACCATTTCAATAGGAACATATTTGGACATTTAGATAAACAGAAAGATTTGAAAGCTAGAATTGCTTGATTAGGAAATAACTACAGAATTGGTTATCCAATTTAGATTTTTTGCAGTGTGATATAAATGATATATTCTAGAGCAGAACTATACAATAAAACTTCCTGTGACTATCAAACTGTTCTATATTTGCACTCTTCAATATGGCAGCCACTAGCCACATATGGCTACTGAGTACTTGAAATGTGACTAGTACAAATGTGGAGCTGAATTTTTAGTTTTGTTTTAATTTTAACTAATTAGAATTTAAATACCTACTTGTGGCTAGTGGCTACCTTATTGGAAAATACAGTACTAAGGGTTTATCTGTATTCGGTATTCAACATAAAATAAAGAAAACTTGAATGTCTTGTAGTTGCTGAATGTATATAAAAATGGGTGTCCCCAAAACACGAGACCTGGGCTCTGGTACATGGCCATCCACAGGGAGTCCTCATAACATGTGCACAGGCTTGAAGGGTAGAAACAACAGCTTTTTGAACTTTGGCTCAACTTGTACATATTCAGACATAAATACAGTTTCGGTTAGCCATAGGTGATTTGAAAAACTTTTGTCTCTGGAAAGCCATGGGGAGCTCAAATTATCTCTAGTAATAAAGTTCAGTGATGGTGAATGGAGTCAAGGGCTTGACTTTTTCAGTTCATTTCTCATGTGGTATGAATGGCATGTCATAGAGACAGAGATGAAGGAGGTACTCCACGAACATAGCCGCCTCCACATAAAGGAAACTCTTCAGGTTCAGACTGGATAGCAGGGACAGGCTGATAGACATGTTGGCACCTTTCCCCAAATCATTCTTTAATAAATATTGATTGAGGGCTACTGTGTGCAACACTAAGTCATGATGCTTAGTGCTGGAGATAAGGTGTTGAAAAAAAACTGATACAGTTTTAGCCTTCATGGTGATTGATTGCATTAGACAATAAGATTTTTCCAATGTCTTCTTCCAAAATGTTTTTTTTTCCTAGGATATGGTGAAAATAGAACAGGAGAAAGGTACATAGGATAAATAGAAATGCTGAGGATCACTATTAGGTGTGTGTCACACACCTTGTTCAATTTTACTTCTCTCTGCACAGCTTTCACAGTTCTACACTCAGTTGAATAAACCAGTTTTCAAAATGCAACACTGGAAGCAGAGAAAATAACTGAAAAAGCCCCCTCAACTGCCATTTTTTAGAACATGAGATGAGCGTCATCGTTTATCATTTGAGTGTTTACCACATATATTTATAAGGGTTTTTTTCATTTTTACGAGCCAGAAGAATGTTCTTTAAAATAATTACTAACTGAAAGACTTTTTTTTTACTGTGATGTGATGACACATTTTCTACTTTGCCATTCAGAACACTGCAAGAAAGAGTGCTGCAATCGCCATTTATTAAATAAATAAAATTATTCCATTTTCAAGCACCATTGCAAGACCTGAAGAGAGCTATCTGCCACACAGGCAATATGTAGCTTATTGTATTTAAGTTCATTTTGAAAAAATGAACCAGAAATGTGGCAAAGTACTGAGCAAGAACTATTTAGTCAGGTTTCTTCTTTTCCTTCGCAGAACAAATGTATAATGAAACATATGGTTCAACCTGCATTTTTAGATGAATTTTCAAATGTGTCACTGATGGAAATTTAAGGATGAAAAGGATTAAATGAAACGAAATGAATGAAATCACAATACATAGTACTTAAAGTATCAAAAGACCACAAAGCCTTGTCTCCAAATACATGAATTGATAATATCCTTCATTTTCTAGATAGACACTTTGAAAATAATTTTTGAAAACTAACTATAAAGCAATGAAAGAAACCACAGAGGGAAAAAAAAGAGATACATTTATTTACATAAATATGTAAGAGCCAGTTGACATAAAAAACATTATGAACAAAATTAAAAAGTGAAGGGGAGTTTGCTTTATTCCTTTAAAAAAAAATGTATACGCAATGGACGTTTTAAAACATGGCCACAAATTCTTTGAAGCGCTACTGTGTCCCCCTCATTGAATGTGGGAGGCCCTGTGACTGCTTTGACTAATAAAGCACAGTGGACGTGGCACTAGGTAACTTCTGATGCTGGGTCATGAAAGACCATGAAGGTGCTGCCTTGTGTGCTGTCCTTTGGAGCCCTGAGCCTCCAGGTAAGAGGTCTGAATCCCCAGAGACCACTGTGCAGGAGCACCCAGGTGTCGCTGCTCCAGTTAGTGATGCTAGCATGCTCAGCCTTTCTTCTGTCCCTGCCAGGGCACTAAGCGTTTGAGGACAGCCATTTGGGGCCCTTCACATTAGCCAGTCTGCCAGGTGAGTAATCCATGACAGCAGAAAAAACTCTTAGACCAGATCCATACAACTATGAGATCCTATAAAATGTGTGTTGCCTTAAACCACTAAATTTTGAGGGAGATTGTTAGGCAGCAGGAGAAAATGGTGCGTACTCTCTTGCATGTATGATATTCTCACAATAAAAATCTTAAAATTGAACAGAAGAGACACTCTGGGACATTATTTGCCAAAACTGACAAAAGCAGTCTGTCTTAGTATCCTTCCTATATAAAGAGATCTTTCAAGTCACCAGGAGGAAACTACTAATATTGTATAAGAAAATGGGCAATTAAGTGAACATAAAATTTACAAAAGGAAAATAAGAAGGCTAATAAACATGTAAAAAAAGTTCAATCTCATTCATAAGTGAAGGAAATGTGAATTAAACAATGGGATTAAAATTTTGGTTATCAAATTGACAAAGATACAAAATAATATCTAATGTTGGTTTGAGTTAAGTGGGAGTATAAATGGCACACACTTTCTGGAAAATAAATTGATATGATACAGCCAGAACTTTTAAAGTATTGTATTCTTTGACCCTGCTAGGAATCTAGAAATTCAGGTAAGGAAGTAATCAGAAATGAAGTGAAATATAAAATGCTTATCATAGCTCTATTTACAAGAGCAAAAATATAGAAATAATCTAAATGTCAATCAATGCAGTTAAATAAACTATGTGTTTTATATTACATAATATTATTTTACCACTTAGAATATGTGCTAATCCTGACCTGGGACACAATAGTAGAGTAGAAAAAACTGGGACTTTATGGTCATATAGACCAAGCTTTGAATCCTGGATTTTGCCACTTTCTTTTGCTGGATATTTGCAAATTTGATTTATCTCTCTCAGTTTTACTTTTCATATAAGAAAAATGGGCATAAATATCTATTCCATTGGGTGTATTGATAATTAAATGAAGTTATACATATATATAAATTTTACATATAATAAACTGATATATAATATATATCATATGAAAATATAAAAATATATAATACATTATATACATAGTTTTTATATATATAAATAAGCATAATAGTTTTTTAATAAGTATCTCATTTCTTACAACCCAAGGAAATCATCTGAGCTCCATATCCAAATTCACACCTTTTTCCAAATTCATTGAAAGTTTTTCAAATCTGTCTTCCTCTATATAACCCTTTCCACCATAGTTCAGTCTCTACACCATAGTCAGATATTAAGAACAAACCCAAAAATAAATGAATCAAGTTTCTTGTTTATAACTCTTCAAAGGTTCCAAATGCATGAAAAACACATCTACTCTTGCCCTACTGTCCACACAGCAGATGAGGTAAACTTAGAAAAAGTAAATCAGATCGCGCCAGCTCCTGCTTGGCACCCACCCCTGTCGCATCCAGTAGCTCCCCAGAGCACTTAAAACAAGCCTAGCCCTCTTTCCTGGCTTCCAGACCCCATGTGATTCCTACTTTGCCTACTTCTCAATTTTGCCCCCTTGCCCTCTATTCTTCAGCCATGCTGGTCTCCTTACAGAAAACGTCATGTAGTTCCCCTCCTTTCAAGTCTTTGCTGTTCCTTTGCTGGAATTCTGTTTCCCTAGGACACTGCATGGCTGGGTCCTTCTCCATCTAAATCTCAACTTGAATATCACTTCCTCAGAGAGGTTTTCCTTGACTATCCAATCTAAAGTCAAGCCCTCATTTCCATGTACTATTGAATCCTCTTTAATTCCCTAGTAGAGTTATAGCTTCCTTCCTTAGTTTTGTTCATTTATACCCTGACTCCATATCAACACTTCCTCTCTCCCCAGGGCT